TCGTAACAACACCAGCATGGGTTCATGGATGGTAAATCGTGCCTCACAGGTTTAATAGAATTCTATAACCAGGCGACAAAAAAATAGGCAAGGAAGTGGAGGATGGACAGACTACATTTTCTTGCACGGCCAGAAAGCCTTTGATACAGTACCCAATAAGAGGCAGGTACAGACATAAGAGAAACAGGTACGGTGCTACAGTGGTTAAGCGAGTATCTAATCAACAGAAAACAGGGAGCTACTCACAGATCACCAAATCGTTTAACAACAGGTACCAAGTCATTACTGGGTGAACAGAGGCTACAATTAAGGATTGGCGCCAAGTCAATCCTCCCAGGCCAGGATACGAACCCAGGTCAAAGTGCTCGCAAAGCACCGGGCGAGTGCTTTATCACTGCGCCACGGGGAATGCAAGAAAGTTGCAGCCTCATCCGCAGTTGAGAAGCGGAACCAAGGAGCCCAAGCTCAACCCCAGCAAGTACAACTAGTTGAGTACACACACACACACGGTTCTCAAGCGGAGAGCGCTCGAAGGTCGTAATCATAAGGACCTGTGTCCGATTCCCGGCCGAAACAGAAACAAATGAGTAGAGTTTCTTTCACCTGATGTACCTCTTCACCTAACAATAAATAGGTACCTGGGAGTTAGACAGCTGCTATGAGGTACATTCTTAGAGTTGTGTGAGTGAGATAAATATGTATAGTAGATATGATAGAGGAAAAATAGATCGGGAGTCAGTACATATGATAACCGTCGATCAGACAGGCGGGGTCCAAGAGCTAACATCTCGCTTCTGCAGGAACAAATAGTAAATACACAAACACACACGCCACACTGCCCACATGATGCACATACCCATTCACCCTCTTACACAACCCGGGAGGATTGACTGGAAACGACTCGAAAATTGTTAGACACCTGTTCAACCAGCAGTAATTAGGGACCTGGGAGTAGAACCGTGTTCCAGGGAGCGGAAAGCTCTCAGCCTGCCAACAGGAGGCAGAAGGCGTCTACTCCTGTTTGCACCTATGTAAAAAAAAAAGAGAGAGGGATAGAGCGAAAGAGATACAATAAAAGTCAGAGAGAGAGGGAGAAGGAGAGAGACAAAGACAGAGAGAGAGAGAGAGAGAGAGAGAGAGAGAGAGAGAGAGAGAGAGAGAGAGAGAGAGAGAGAGAGAGAGAGAGAGAGAGAGAGAGAGAGAGAGAGAGAGAGAGAGAGAGAGAGAGAGAGAGAGAGAGAGAGAGAGACAGAGACAGAGAGAGAGAGAGAGAGAGAGAGAGAGAGAGAGAGAGAGAGAGATAGAGAGACAGAGACAGAGAGAGAGAGACAGAGAGAGAGAGAATATGACCCAGGCATATACCTGAAGGCACGGTGGGGCGGAAACAGGGTCGGAAATTAGTTATGTTATCGTGGGTGCGGGGCCTTACTGGAGACGGAACCTGGTCCCCTACCACCGCTGGCCTCCCTCCCCTTCCTTCCCGTTTTTACCCTGTTGTTGCTACTGTTACTGCGTTGTTGCTGCTGTTGGTGCGTTGTTGGTGCGTTGTTGGTGCTGTTGGTGCGTTGTTGCTGTTATTGGTGAGTTGTTGCTGTTGTTGGTGTGTTGTTTCTACTGTTGGTGCGTTGTTTCTACTGTTGGTGCGTTGTTTCTACTGTTGGTTCGTTGTTTCTACTGTTGGTGCGTTGTTTCTACTGTTGGTTCGTTGTTTCTACTGTTGGTGTGTTGTTGCTGCTGTTGGTGCGTTGATTCTACTGTTGGTACGTTGATTCTACTGTTGGTCCGTTGTTTCTACTGTTGGTCCGTTGTTTTTACTGTTGGTCCGTTGTTTCTACTGTTGGTGCGTTGTTGCTGTTATTGGTGAGTTGTTGCTGTTGTGGTGAGTTGTTTCTACTGTTGGTACGTTGATTCTACTGTTGGTCCGTTGTTTCTACTGTTGGTCCGTTGTTTTTACTGTTGGTCCGTTGTTTCTACTGTTGGTCCGTTGTTTCTACTGTTGGTCCGTTGTTTCTACTGTTGGTCCGTTGTTTCTACTGTTGGTCCGTTGTTTCTACTGTTGGTCCGTTGTTTCTACTGTTGGTCCGTTGTTTCTACTGTTGGTCCGTTGTTTCTACTGTTGGTCCGTTGTTTTTGTAGCTTTTGGGAATTTAATAGTCTCATTAAATGCAAGTGATTATTTACTAATAACAATATAACATAAGTCAAATCCTCCAATAACTAGTAGGTAAATATATATAATTTATATAGATAAAAATTTCCGGCAATATTTTAATGTTTTACCGATAATATTCGCCCCCAGAAAATAGTAATATTTTTGTGAAGTGTTGGATGAAAAATGAAAAAGTTTTTCATTTAATGAAAAACTCAGGAGAAAAGTGAGGACATTACTGGAATTATGTAGTTATACGGCGCTGGGGACAACGACTCTCTTGAAGTCTGGCAAGAGAACAGGCCACCTGATCATGACAAAGCGGAAGACAAACTTATTTGGGATAAAGTTGTAGCAGACTCTGAACGTATGTGCATTGTTGGAGACTCAATAATACGAAAGCCGGTAGCAGATGTGTTTCTGAAGGTAGTCAAAGGTCGTCAAGTCACTGAAAGATATGTAGAGGACAGATATGAGCAAGGATCTGAAACAATCAGACCAGGTTGAAACTCGGAGCTGCGGCAATAATCTGGAGGAGCTCAGGTTCAGAAGTGATATGGAGAAGTAATGGATTAGCAACAAGGTTTTTCATTTCATAGGTGAATGGAATAAGTTGACGGTCAATACAATAGTGGTAAATAGGAACGGTAATGTTTGATACCATAGGATAAAAAAAACCCACATGTGTTTATGTATTTTATGTAACGATATGAACTACGCCAATTTTTTGGCCCTCTCCTGAGTGCATGACCAAGGTCTGAGTATATTGCTTGGATGAGACTTACATTCCATCGACTAATACGGTAGCAATAGTATTGGTCGTTGATATGCAAGTCCTCTCCAAGCTATATACTCAGACCATGATAATGCATTAAGGAGAGTACGAAAGACTTGGTGTAGTTCCAAGATTGACATAAAATTTATCAATACAGTAGTGTGTTTTGTTTATACATAGAGGGAACTAATATAGCGAGCTTATGAAGTGCGCTTGATATATATATATATATATATATATATATATATATATATATATATATATATATATATATATATATATATATATATATATATGGTGGTGTATAGACCACTCATGGTGGTGTATGGTGCTCCCATGGTGATGTATACACCGCATATTTAATAATATATATATATATATATATATATATATATATATATATATATATATATATATATATATATATATATATATATATATATATATATATATATATATATATATATATATATATATACTTTACCATACTGGTGTATAGACCACTCATGGTGGTGTATGGTGCGCCCATGGTGATGTATACACCGCCCATGGTGGTGTATAGATTACTCATGGTGGTGTATGGTGCTCCCATGGTGATGTATACACCGCCCATACTGGCGTATTAAACACAGAGAGCAGTATGGCGCCACGGCTGGCCGCTGCTGGCCGTGTTCCAGTGTATGTATCATTAAGGTCAATAACCAAGCAATAGTTGTAGGTCCACTTTACAACTGAGATTAGTCACAGCGCCACGAAACACCACAGGTTAAATTACCGGTTCTTTGCATCACAGGATCGGTTACAATACAGGTTTGGTTATAATATATGCCGATTGCAACACAGATTCGTCTATAATATGGATACGGATACAACACAACAGAGATACGTTCACATCACAGGTTCGGTTGCAAGACAGGTTCGGTTGTAAGACAGGTTCGGCTGCAACACAGGTCAGGGCCAACTTTACCAAACACTTACATCAGCGGACGGTGATAGTTCGTGCCTCGGAGGATCGTATCCACTGAACAGGACAAAATATTCTCATTTTGTTTGGGGGGTTTCAATCTCGTAGTGTTTCTTACTTTTTCACTCCATTTGTATTTCTCTTGTTTACTAGAAAACTTAGGTAGTGTTGACATGTCACGTTGTCTCTTATGTATATCTTTTCTGACAATAGATATTTTCATTTCACTTAAGTTTTTTTAATTTCTGTTTTATTTTTCCTTTGCTTGCCTCTTGCACTTCTTCCTCCCTCGCGCTTTACTTCCTAATTCTGTTCTCTATAGTGTTTCCAGGACAATTTGAGGATAGCAATTTCCGCAGCATTGGGGGGATGAGAGACACACCTGCCTCACAGAGGTGTGTCCGGTCAGTTGTTTGAAGAGTTTACCCTCAAGCAAGACCGCGTTTTCTCTCTTTTCACACGTCTCAGGCCCCGGTGTTGACTGATATATGACTATTGTATATCTCATTCATTCTAAGACATTCTTGCCATGTTCACCTCCTTGATGTCACCTTGGTCAGAGGGTGGTGAGATGTTGTGAGTGGAGAAGGGTCTTAATGCAGGTTAATGGGCAATACTAACAATCAATTATTTGTGGGTATTGTGACCTTCAGTGTTACCAGACTTACATCAACATACTTAAATCCTTAGTAAGGCCTTATGTACATTAAAGAGACAGAGCACATTGTCTCTAGAGGGTCCAGGAGATCTGAGGTTACTCAGAGTATTGTCTCTGAGGAAGATACAAGGTTTTTAGACTCCTGTAATGGACTGTAGTGAGATAAGGCAACATAACATTGATCAAGGTAGATTAATGTAGACTAATTATTAGGAAAACTCTCCTAGCCAGCATAGCTATACACCAAATGGAAGGAATATGAGGACAGGATTGAAGCTAGAAGAGAAGGACGGAGTAAATAAATGGAGGTCAAGGCCTTGACCTCCTAGGTCGAGGCCAAAGCCTTGACCGGTCAGATTTGAGTGGCAGATGACATTGCACACCTCCACTGGCAGTACCTCCACTACACCAGGCAAAGACGCCTCATATCATCTCTCACAAGCAGCCTACTCACCATGTAGCCATCGTAGGTCCAGGAACCAAACTTCATGAAGCACGTCTGTTGGTCGAAGGGGAAAAACTCGACGTCGATCTCACAGGAAGACTTGTAGATCGCCGGCGGCTTCCAGGTCACTCGGCCATCGTAATGCAGGACAGCCTTCGTCATGATGGTCACCTCGTAGTTCCCGTCAGCACTGTGGGAGAGGAAAGGCACAAACGTCACAAGAGAAGGCACAGGGAGGAAATCACACGAATGTGTTGTCTGAATGAGGAAAATCAGAATCCTCTATGTGGAGGATTCGTAACAAGTGTGCGGGTTCGAATCCTCTTCATGGCTGCTACTGATTTTCCCACGGGAAGGGAAGTTTAGATGCCTGATAACTTATATATGTTTGTGATTATTAAGAATATACTTACTTTTGTGCGACTAAATGGACAAGAGCATTAAAAAACAAGAAGGGAAATATCGTGCTATCTTAAAAAAAACGAATTTAAAAATGATCTTAACGGTAGAATAATGGACTTGACATTGGTACAATTAAAACAATTATATGACAAAGTTCGAGAATGAAATAAATGAAAGTGATAAAATTAGTTTACAGTGAAGAGAATTTGGCAAAATACTTAGATCTTAGCAAATATTGTAGTCCTTTGTAGATGAAAAGAATTTGACAGTACAATATTTTAGTAAGAAGGGAATAGATTTTATAGGGAAGAAAGAAAATATTGCAAGGTAATCTTAGAGGGAAAATAACATAACAAAATCAAATAATAGAGAAAACTATGGCAAGATCTTTGAGAAAGGTATTTTTTCAAGCTTTTCTGACAGTCTGAATAAAGCCTTTAGTAGTGACAACTGCCAAAGAATTTGTATTGTGTAGAAAATGTGAACATATCATTTTAATATAAATAACAATATAACAAATTGTCAGTAAAATCATATTGCAATGGCACCAATATTGAGATGCATGGAAGACCGGGCGTTGCAGGAGTAATGGGAAAGACTTCCATTATACCATAAGGATTACGGTGAACCTTATTTCAAAAGTTAAAAATTCTATGTTCACACAGACTATAGTTGTCCGTTTTGATGTACAAACCACTATACGACCAGCTCCACCACCAGCACTACCACCACCACCACTACCACCAGCACCACCACCACCACCACCAGCACCACCACCACCACTACCACCAGCACCACCACCACCACCACTACCACCAGCACCAGCACCACCACCACCAGCACCACCACTACCACCATCAACACCACCACCACCACTACCACCACCACCACCACCACCACTACCACCAGCACCACCACCACCACTACCACCAGCACCAGCTCCAGCACCACCACCACTACCACCAGCACCACCACCACCACTACCACCACCACCACACCAGCAGCAGCAGTACCAGCATCACCACCACCACCAGCACCACCAGCAGCTCCACCACCATAAACACCACCAGCACCAGCACCACCACCACCAGCAGTAATAGCATCACCACCAGCACCACCATCAGCATCAGCAACAACAACAACAACCGAAGGTTATTATACTAGAGCGAGCGAGGAGGACCTGAGCTCCAAGAGAGTCATACCTTCTCTCGCTGCTTCAGTCGATCACTTAAATATGACGAATTGAACTGAGCGTGTTTGTGGTGGGGGAGACAACGCAGAGTCTGGTGAGGGAGACAACGCAGAGTCTGGTGGGGGAGACAACGCAGAGTCTGGTGGGGGGAGACAACGCAGAGTCTGGTGGGGGAGACAACGCAGAGTCTGGTGGGGGAGACAACGCAGAGTCTGGTGGGGGAGACAACGCAGAGTCTGGTGGGGGAGACAACGCAGAGTCTGGTGGGGGAGACAACGCAGAGTCTGGTGGGGGAGACAACGCAGAGTCTGGTGGGGGAGACAACGCAGAGTCTGGTGGGGGAGACAACGCAGAGTCTGGTGGGGGAGACAACGCAGAGTCTGGTGGGGGAGACAACGCAGAGTCTGGTGGGGGAAACAACGCAGAGTCTGTGCCATAATTTTGAAAATTTATTCATGAACTGCCCCTCATCCGTACTCCAGCAGCAGCACCATTGTCAGAACATTTCCTTGGCTCTGAAGGTTGACTATTCTTTCCACCTGCCACTTATTCGTGCACTGAGAGAATTTGTATCGGTCGCCCTCTAAAAAATGTCCAGTTGACAGCCTTCCAGTTCTGGGGCCAGATTCACGAAGCAGTTACGCAAGTACTTACGAACGTGTACATCTTTCCTCAATCTTTGACGACTTTGGTTACATTTATTAAACAGTTCACAAGCAAGAAAACTTACCAATCAACTGTTGTTATTGTTATAAACAGCCTCCTGGTGCTTCGGAGCTCATTAACTGTTTAATAATTGTATACAAAGCCGCCAAAGATTGAGAAAAGATGTACAGGTTCGTAAGTGCTTGCGTAACTGCTTCGTGAATCTGGCCCCTGGTGTTTAGTTATGGCGTTCGAGAACTTCCTGGTGATCGAAACACTTATGCTCCAGTGGTTATCTTGAGGTTATCTTGAGATGATTTCGGGGCTTTAGTGTCCCCGCGGCCCGGTCCTCGACCAGGCCTTCCCAGGAAGCAGCCCGTGACAGCTGACTAACACCCAGGTACCTATTTTACTGCTAGGTAACAGGGGCATAGGGTGAAAGAAACTCTGCCCATTGTTTCTCTCCGGCGCCCGGGATCGAACCCGGGACCACAAGCTGGGGCAATAGACAGTTGTTTATGGTGTATTTCACAAACTATTTGTATTCCCAAGCTGTTCTTAAATTTCATGTTCATGTTTATCAAGTTAGAATTGCTTGGTTCTCGTCTGCATCCACCAGTGTGTCGTAGTTATATATATTTTAATTCTATGTAAATATTGTGTTAACTTGTTACGGGTAGTTACGGGAAGTCTTACTGTGTATAATTTGTTATAATCTTCGATAACGGGGTTTTACGTCATTAATCTGTAGTCTGCATTGGGCGTCCGGGCCTGAAGGAGATGTTTAGATCTAGTTAATAGTTAACGGACTTAACAAAGCCGTTAACGTCACATTATTCGCTCATTGGTCCATGTCTGTTGTAATGACTTAAACAATATTATAACTTTTAAAATATCATTTCATTGTCACTTTATTTGTAAGTGAATGTGATCGCTACGTTTCCTGTGCTGTGTATGGGAATACTTATGCAGGTTGTTGTCGTTAAAGATTCGTTACTTGGAACAAGAAGTTCCAAGTAGCACGGGCTATGGTGAGCCCGTAGATTATGCAGGTAGCCAGGGAGGCCAGTGTTATTGTCTAGGCAGAGTGTTGAGTCTTAGGCAAACAGCATTGTTCCCACGTGTACACTATTCAACCCTTTAGGGAATCTTGCAGTGAACAATATCTTTTGATTGTAGGTTTCATGTCTTCTAGAGTGTAGTCTAGTAAGGTGCTCTTGAAGGCTCTAGGTTCTGCATAAAGTTTTTACGATGGACGTATTTATATTTATAATGAAGTTCCGTATCATGTGCAATGTGTGAAGGGTTTTCCATGAAGTATTCAGGTATCAATTAAGTTTATTATCACTGTTTATTTACATAAAAATAAAGAGGAATGTTACACTTTACTAAAGTGTAAATGCAAGACTGTTAGAGAGCCATAGACGTCTAACTGGACAACAAAAAGTCTCGAAAAACTCAAACCAATTTACCTAAATTGGTTCCATCACTTGTCAGTGCTGGTTATCGCTGCATAAATTGTGGGTATATATATATATATGGACCCGTAATCGGGAAATTTTTGACGGCTGAATGCACATATGTGACCACATGCGTGACGATGTTACATATTGTAACACATGCACAACTGTCAATGGCTTGCCAGAACTATTATTATCCATAAGAGTTACGATTGTGTTACTGCGTGACAATTGCAACACAACAATGACAATTGCAATACAATTGTCACACAATTGTATTGCGTGACAGTTCTTCTCCCTCAGCAATATGTGTATCATAATTTTCGTTAACGAAGAATTTTGAGGCGAATCTCAAGAAATTTAAAAATATTGAATAACTAGTTTAAAATTTACTTGGTAATAAATCTCTCAAAAAGCTGTTGGAATATTAAATGATTACTGTGTCTCGTCTTGTCACTCGCCACAAGCCACGTACTCACGGTGTAGGAGCCACGTACTCACGGTGTAGGAGCCCCGTACTCACGGTGTAGGAGCCCCGTACTCACGGTGTAGGAGCCCCGTACTCACGGTGTAGGAGCCACGTACTCACGGTGTAGGAGCCCCGTACTCACGGTGTAGGAGCCCCGTACTCACGGTGTAGGAGCCCCGTACTCACGGTGTAGGAGCCCCGTACTCACGGTGTAGGAGCCCCGTACTCACGGTGTAGGAGCCCCGTACTCACGGTGTAGGAGCCCCGTACTCACGGTGTAGGAGCCCCGTACTCACGGTGTAGGAGCCCCGTACTCACGGTGTAGGAGCCACGTACTCACGGTGTAGGAGCCCCGTACTCACGGTGTAGGAGCCCCGTACTCACGGTGTAGGAGCCACGTACTCACGGTGCGGGAGCCACGTACTCACGGTGTAGGAGCCGCGTACTCACGGTGTAGGAGCCACGTACTCACGGTGTAGGAGCCCCGTACTCACGGTGTAGGAGCCACGTACTCACGGTGTAGGAGCCGCGTACTCACGGTGTAGGAGCCCCGTACTCACGGTGTAGGAGCCACGTACTCACGGTGTAGCAGCCCCGTACTCACGGTGTAGGAGCCCCGTACTCACGGTGTAGGAGCCCCGTACTCACGGTGTAGGAGCCCCGTACTCACGGTGTAGGAGCCGCGTACTCACGGTGTAGGAGCCACGTACTCACGGTGTAGGAGCCGCGTACTCACGGTGTAGGAGCCGCGTACTCACGGTGTAGGAGCGCCGTACTCACGGTGTAGGAGCCCCGTACTCACGGTGTAGGAGCCACGTACTCACGGTGTAGGAGCCCCGTACTCACGGTGTAGGAGCCGCGTACTCACGGTGTAGGAGCCACGTACTCACGGTGTAGGAGCCACGTACTCATTACGTGCACAGGCAAGCACCAGTACGTGCCCAGAATTGAAAATATCCTGACGTAGCACCAAAATGGAAAAGTTAAGACACTGGCAGCCGTGAAGTTACAGTGACGGGAAGACAAAGGTGAGTGGAGGGCGCGCGCCAC